GCAAGTGTCCCCCGGAGTCTTTTGGAATAAACCCGTGGACGATTAGTATTTAAATGTGTAATCCTGAGTGTTGCACGGAGTTTTGAGGCTGCGGGCTCAGTGGGTGTGATCTGGAGCAGAGATGCAGCCGTATAGCTTTCTCACGGAGGTAAAAAAAAGAAAAGAAGTTTACATAACGTTTTCCTTTTTTAAACGCAATTCTCCCCACAGGTGGCAAAAGCAATTAACTTATATTAACCCAAATGTTAAAGTCGAGTAATTAGAATTGGAGTCGATGAAATTGAACTCTTGAATGTACAAAATAATAGATGACAGTTCAGTGTTCATATTATTGTTTTCTTCTTTGTGTACCAGTCTCATTGCCATGCCTTTGTCTGTTTTCGTTACGACAGTTGGTCCCAAAATTTGCATCAATTCAAGGGAATAACTTTAATTCCTGTTTAGAACAGTCTTCCTGTAGAGAACAGGGTAGGTCAGCATTACACAAAGAAACTCTCTGAAAACTGAATCTACCTAAAAAAAAAAAGACACATTTCTTACTATTTGTTTGGTTAAGAAACCGTGAATTAAACATAATTTCCCAACACAATGCAACAACGGGCAGAAAATAATCAAAAACTGATCAGAGATCAGCCATCCGTTGTTGGAGAACCTCGCGCATGCGCGGAGGGGCCGGAGGGCTCGGAGTTGCTGTCATGGCCGCTTTCGGGGTGGTGTTGTTTTGGAATGCTACTACTTTATGGGAACTATTCAACATATCTGCCATGAAGCCTCATCTATGTTCGTGTCGAGATATATTTGCACCTTTGCGGAATCGGCACACGTAAAATGATTATGTTTTGATGATTTAAGGAAGCGTAATTTTGCAAGGATAGCGGCTAACAGTGAGGTGCTAGGCTAACAGGCTAGCTGTTTACCTTTGTGTGAAATGGAAAGTGAGTTGCTGTCGTAGTTATTTTTAACTGAAGCTGTAGTATATCTCGCTCTTTGGAGAAATTAGTTGCTTTCCCCATCAGAAATATTAATGTCTAACCATGTAGCAGTTGCGTACAGTTATTGAAAGAACAACAGTTGTTGAATTCAGGTAAGCTAGCAAAGCTCACAGCTTCTTTACTCTGAATCATTTCCATCTGTGTGTGCCACAAGTGTTCACCTCATATCTGACATTTGCCATTAGACTATTGACTTTCTTTATGTACAATGCATGGCTGGCTCCCTGACCCTGGTGATGGTTTTCCAGGATGAATGAGATGAACCTGAGTCCTGTGGGCATGGACCAGCTCAGCGTGCCCTCAGTGAGTTCCGGCCACCTGGGCCTGCCCACCTCCCCCACACACAATCCAATTGCCACTCCAGGTATGGAACATTTGATCAGTTTATTCAAGCTAAAAACGGTCATAATTGATATCTACGTATAGCTGAACAAATGAGCTGCCTCTCACTAACAAATAGTTTCTGAACACTTGGTTGAAAGTTGACACTTTCATGCCTTTTCTGGTTCAGGCATGCCAGTAGCCATCCCCAGTCTGGGCCCTTCCCTCGGCTCCCTTCCTTCTGCTTTGTCTCTGATGCTCCCCATGGGTCCGCTGAGCGACAGAGGAGTGATGTGTGGCCTCCCGGAAAGGAATTACTCCTTACCGCCTCCTCCATACCCCCATCTAGAGAGCAGCTACTTTCGCCACATTCTGCCTGGTAGGTTTGTGTGATTAATTAGAACAAGGTTTCAAATAAGTAATGTGATAGATTAACTCATTGACTGCCAGCCATTTTCAGAACAGAGAGTCCCATACTGCCAGAGTTTTTTGAGCATTTTGACTGACTCAAGAGCCACAGAATAGTTTGTGCTATGACTATGTAAACACCGAACACACCAAAATAAAGAGTAGACTCTCTTCTTTCATCAGGAAAAAAAATGTGTTTCTACCTTATTTCGTTCTTCCTCGACGTGCGTCTCACCGGCGCCATTTTTCGCATAGCGAACCATTGAGGTTCTTTTTTATTTGTCTACAATCTATGCTCATCTCCATTCAAAAGTGGCACTGCCACCTAGAGGGTCAATTTGTAACTACATACTCTGTCTGGAAGCCTGATATTTACGGACAAGCTTTAGCCGATCGTCCCCCAGCCACTCGCATTGAAAAACATAAAAGATGTCTATAGATGTCTTTGGCAGCCAATGAGTTAATGTTGTCAGATAGTAGATAATTGAAAAAATGCTTTTAAATCTTTCTCTTCTCCCTACAGGTATCTTATCCTATCTGGCTGACCGTCCACCCCCTCAGTACATTCATCCCAGCAGCCTCAACATGGACGGGACCCTGTCCGTGGCCAGCAACAACCCCTCAGGGCTGGACCCGTACAGTGGCCCCGGGGGCCCGCTGGAGCAGGGTTTGGTGCCCATAGACTCACGACAGGTCAGTGGGCAGGGAGACCTCCACCAGGCCGGCCCCCACGAGCTGGACTCGACCGGATTAGCCATGGAGTCGCGCGTCAGCAGCCCTATCTCCCCCAACCGTATGGGAGAGGAGCTGGCCAATATGGACGGCGTCGGGGTGGTGTCAGACGGCCAGCAGCAGCTCGGTGGAGGGAGGCAGCCTCAGCCCCACGAGGGCCTGGCAGGGGTCGACTCTTCAGGGGGGGTGATGCCCCTCCACGGACCCCCCGTCCTGGAACTGCCCGTGGTGATGGAGCCGGATCACATGGGGGGGGAGGGTGGGCGGGTCTGGTGGGGGAGGGGCCGGGGGACTAGGGGAGCAGCTCCACACGAACGGGGAACTGAACTCGGGCGTGGTGAGCGTGGTGCTCACGGGGTCCATGGCCAGCCAGGGCCAGATGGAGCAGGTGTCCCTCCACGGTCACGCTGGGATGGGACTGGAGGGGGTTAACGTGTCTCCCATCACTGCAGAGGTGTCTCTGGGGCCTGAGAACCACCTGGTGCTGGTCAACTCCACTCTGCAGCTGGAGGACTCCACTTCCAACAAGGAGAACATTGTGACAGCCTACACGATCTGTGAGTTTGGGATTCCTGCCACTTTTTTTTTTTTTTCAAATTATTTTTATTGAAACAAATGATAAGATGATACCAATAAGGAATACAGATTACTTTTCTTTTTTTCTCTTTTTAGATAAACATATAATTGTGCAGGTATAACTTCTAATATATAAATACAAGTATAAATGTTGAAGTAGTCACACCTACTACATATTCAAAAAACTAAAACAAAACAAAATAAGAACAATAAAAGAAGAGAACAACCCCACCATTCCCACCCTGTCTCAGCCCAACACATTCAGCAGAAAAATAAGATTAATAATAATAATACAAAAATAAAAAGATAATAATAATTTAAAAAAAAAACATCAGTAAAGTACAGCAACAGGCACACATATTTAATTAGGTAGGAGCTCCAAATCTCAAAAATAAGAAAGAAAACATTGTCCGTACATCCTCTCATTGTATATTTGATTTTTTCCAGTTTAAGAAAAAACACCATGTCCTTAAGCCATTGGGCGATGGAGGGATATCTAGCAGACTTCCAGTGTAATAATATTGAAACTCTTGCAATTAAGGATGTAAAGGCTATAATATCTTTTTGCTTTGAATTTAATACTACTAAAGAATTAGAAATCCCAAATATAGCAGTCAGTGGACAAGGTTGCAAATTAACTTTGAGAATAGTAGACATAGCTGTGAAGTAACCAGACCAAAAAGCAGCCAGGTCAGGGAAAAAAAAAACATTTGACTAAGATGACACGGAGAGTCCTGACACTTGTCACATTTGTCTTCAATTTCTGGATTGATTTTACTCCTGCCACATTTCTGTTCTTCTTCTTTATCTGTTAGATCAGTGAAAGTTGAACGTTGAGCTCTGCTGTGTTGTTCTGTTCTTCCAGGGTGCACCCTCTGTGAGCGGTCATACACCTCAGACTGCCCAGAACACGGCCCGGTCACTTTCATCCACGACACGCCCATCCAGAGCCGGGCTCGGCTCTCTCTGCCCCGCCCGCTCTGCCTGCGCATCTCAGTGGCCGACGAGCCTCTCGGTAACAGAACAAACATCATTAACTCATTCGCTGCCAAAGACGTCTATAGACGTTAATTCAAATCCAACCGCTGAATGCCAAAGACGTCTATAGACGTCTTTTATGTTTTTCAACGCAAGTGACTTGGGGGACGATCCGCTAAAGCTTGTCCGTAAATATCGGCTTCTAGACAGAGTATGTAGTAACAAATTGACCCTCTAGGGGGCAGTGCCACTTTTGATGGGAGATGAGCATAGACTGTAGGCAAATAAAAAATACGCAATGGTTCGCTATGCGAAAAATGGCACCGGTGAGACGCAAGTCGAGGAAGAACGGAATAAGGTAGAAACAATTTCTGAAAATGGCTAGCAGTCAATGAGTTAAGTTTGCGGTTTCTCTCATCATAACTGGCCCGCGGTCATAAATGGTCATCATTGGTCATGCATCTTCCATCTTAGGGGTTTTTGCACGGGATGTCATTCCCCCGAGGACCTGCTTTGGACCAATGGTGGGCCAGCACTGCAGCAACGTGGATCTCTCCGATTGGCCAGAGAAGGAAACCCCTCAGATATGGAAGGTTTGTCACCAGCGCAGAATCCTGCTCATTGGACGGAAAAATCCAAACGCAGAGACATGAAAACAGGCGTTATGTGCTGCAGATGTATCACAACAACGTGCTGGAGTTCTACATCGTGACAACAGATGAGAACGAATGCAACTGGATGATGTTTGTCCGCAAGGCAAGGTGTGGAAAAAGAGCCTTAAAATGAGAGTTTATTCGTTTTTTGCGTGTCATAAAGAAACATATTGTATAAACCATCAAAACAAACCAGTGTCTGAAGTAAGTCTGGACGTTTGGTGCATTCAGGACCCACGAGGAGCAGAATCTGGTGGCGTACCCGGCCAATGGGAAGCTTTTCTTCTGCACCACCACAGAGATCCACCCGGACCAGGAGCTGCTTTTCTACTACAGCCGGGACTACTGCAGGCTGATGGGTGAGTGTGTGTGCACAGAGGAGCGAGCGGATGTTCATAACTAGGGTTGTCACGATACTAACATTTTCAACTCGATACCGATACTCAGGAAAATATTCGATACTCGATACCATTTTTGATACCACAAGGATAAAAACAAAGACCCCAAAATTTAACTGAATTTTGACAGGTTATTCTCTTTTGTTTCAAATGAATGACCCTAACCCTAACCCTAACCCTGACCCTAACACTCCACCCTTCATAATTGTGAGGAATAAATATTTTTTGGTTAAATATGTTTAGACTTATTGTACAAACCTATTTAACATCCACTATTTTAACATAATATTATGGATAGAGTTTAATTCAGTGTTTGCAAGATTCATTTCACTATTTTTAAATTAATGTCTATATTGCCATTAAGCAATTACCATTTTCTTGCCTGCAATCTTCCTATTGGTGACCTAATCAAAATGGTCGACTTGGATTTGGGCGGAGTTGGATATCCATCCTTGGCCTTCTGCAGTCTGCAGCCAGACGGACTTGATTAATGTTGGCGTGTTATTATTTAGTATCGATACTTTTTTGTGTATCGATACTTTTGACAGCCCTACTCATAACCCAGAAGTGACCATGACGTCATCGTTCGGTCCCCCAGGTGTTCCCCAGGTGCCGGAGGGCCAGATGTGCCAGTGTGGCAAAGAGTGCTCGTCTTTTTCTGAGCTCAAGTCTCACCTGAGCAGCCACAACAGCAGCCGGGGCCACACCCAGCCCCCCCACGGCCACAGCCCCCCCCACCAGGACCCCACTCAGCAGCCCCCGCCCCCCCCGCCACCGCCGCCACGGCAACAGGAGCAGCAGCAGCCGAACATCCACCCGGGGGAGAAACTGGCCAATGGCGGGTCCAGCTCGTCCTCCTCCCCCTGGCCCCTGAACGGCCACCAGGACGGGGGGGCCCGGAGCTCCTCCAGGGCCAAAGGCCAAACCAACGTCCGGGAGAAGAAGTTCAAGTGCAGCATGTGCTCCCGGGCCTTCATCACCTCCACCAAGCTCAACGTGCACTTCATGGGACACGTGGGCATGAAGCCCCACAAGTGCGAGTACTGCAGCAAGGCCTTCAGCGACCCCAGCAACCTCCGGATGCACCTGAAGATCCACACAGGTATTCAGAGAGGCGCCCACCTTTTTTTTAATTTTTTTTAGCTTTATTGCCTTAAATGGGGGTTATCAAGCATTTAGCATCATACAGGGGAACAGAAAAAGACAGGAAAACATAAAAGATAAATAAACACAAAAAACAATAAATAATAATAATAGAAATATTATTAATAAATAACAGAAATTGGGTCTAGTCTGTCACACTTTTTTTTTTTTAAATTTATTACCTTAAATGGGGGTTATCAAGCATTTAGCATCATACAGGGGAACAGAAAAAGACAGGAAAACATAAAAGATAAATAAACACAAAAACAATAAATAATAATAAAAATATTATTAATTATTAATAAATAACAGAAATTGGGTCTAGTCTGTCACAATTAAAAAAAAAAAACTTTATTGCCTTAAATGGGGGTTATCAAGCATTTAGCATCATACAGGTGAACAGAAAGAGACAGGAAAACATAAAAGATAAATAAACACAAAAAACAATAAATAACAATAATGCCTGTTAAAAGGAAGTTTTTCCTTGCCTGTGTCGCCTAGTGCTTGCTCTTGGTGGGAATTGTTGGGTTTCTGTAGTTAACTTCAGAGTAGGGTCTGACCTGCTCTGTTTGGAAAGCGCTGTGAGATAACTTTTGTTGTGATGTGGCCTTATATAAATAAAATTTAATTGCTTCTCCAGCATGGATAGAGGAATAAATAAACGGATCAATAGAAATTGATGGTCTACATCACCACAGGTGATATTTGCCATTGATAAATGGAACGTTCACAAGTTTTTAATATATTAGACAACTTGCTGAATGGCTGACTTATGGTAAAATATTATTTTAATGGGAGAATTTAAGATTTTGCTATGTGCCTTCAATAAATTAATAAATTACATTTAATGTAAATAAATACTGACTTAAAAATAAAAAATAAATGTGAAAAAAAAGAAAAGAAAAAAGAAATTGATGGTCTAATCAAACAATCGACTGGAGCTGAAACTGTAGCTGAATTCGAGATTATTCACAGCTGGAAAACATTCAGTTTTTGGAAAATAGAAAAGAGAGAGAAAAGCAGATACACTTCCTCTCCTGGTGCTGGCCTCCTGACTCTTTGACGCCTTCATCATCCCGACAGGTCAGAAGAACTACAGGTGCTCGGTCTGTGAGAAGTCGTTCACCCAGAAGTCTCACGTGGCCTCGCACATGCTCATCCACACCGGGGCCGAGAAGCTGAAGTGCGACCTGTGCGAGCGGGCCTTCTTCAGGAAACACGACCTGAAGCAGCACATGTTCTCCCACACACAGTGAGTACAGGATCCCTCCTCCAGAGGCATCCGGAGCCCGTTTGGACGCCGGTTAGAGTGGTTTTTATGTGTTTTCCTCTTGTGTTTTCCAACAGCGAGCGCAGGATCCAGTGCCCAAAGTGCAACAAACACTTCCTGAAAACCAACCACTTGAAGAAGCACATGAACTCCCACGAAGGCCGAAGAGACTTTGTCTGCGAGAAGTGCCACAAAGCGTTCCTCACCAAGTACCACCTCACGCGCCACCTCAAGATCTGCAAAGGCCCCAAGACAGAGAGGCCGGGGAGTAAGGAGCAGGACGTGGATGAGGAGGAAGAGGAGGATGAAAGCAGAGGGAGGAGTAGGAGAAGAAGAGGAGAAAGACTTGTGGATACAGCCAGCGAAGAAGACTGTGGATTAGACGTGGGAGGATATAACTCTGACAAATCCCTGTCTCCGCCTCATTGAAAACTGTGCCTCTTAAGATTTTTATTTATTTACTGGTCATGTTTACCTCTTTTATCTGCCAAATATCGCCATAAGGAATCCAAATTCTAAATATCTCACGAGATCTCTGTTTGACTTTCTGTATTTGTTGCCTCTTTATTTCAGCTTTGGTGGGTTATGTGAAATTTCAATAACTCTTTGCCTCAAAAAGGGGCAGGTCTTCTTTTGTTTTTGCACAATAATGTCAAATACGAATTCTGAGCTGAAAGGTTCAAAGCTGAAGTCTTTATACTTTTTCATCTTAAGAATATGGGCATTAAAGTAATGACTGACTATGAACTCTTAACCGAACTGTTGATTGTTTTAATAAATAAACAGGAAACAGAATTTACAAAAGTACTGTCTTCTTTATGTTACATACCTGTCATCTTTTTTCGTTGGCTACTTTTCTTCATATTTGTGGGTATATGATCGTAACGATTCCACCTGATTTATAGTGAGAACATTATAATCCCATAACCTATCAGGGGATAGGATGTTCAACGGCTCACTGGTGGAAGGACAAATACTGTAAACTATGGAAAGAGTTCTGCATACATTAGAAAAAAGCCCATGGAGTGCTGGAACAGGTGAGTTAAGAATAACAAGTATATAAATGTCTCAGTACATGAATCAACATGCTAAAATTGAACCAATTAAATGATTAAATTAGATATTCTACATTGATGGAACTAACCCGACAATACTTTTGAAGGACATGAAAGGGGATAAGTTATCAAAATGAAGGTAAAACTAAACTAGATCATGTTTGACATTGAATGAATAAACTCTGGGGTCAATAAGAACTGAAATGTAGACAATGACATCTATTAATTTGATGTATTCATAAATAGACAAACATAGCCTAAATTAGGGTATTCTTCAGATTTATTTGGGATTTTTTTTTTTTTTAAACATCTGACATTAGTGTCTTGTCGTGACTTTTTATATGTATCTATTTACTTTTCAATTTAATTTTGGCGAAAAAGAGGGGAAGAAAATAAACCGGAAGTGGATAAAATAGCTTCCGGTTGAAATACGAATTATGCAGCGCCGTAGCCGTCATTTGCATCATCGTGGTATGAATATTTTCTAACTTTCATTGTGTTTTTTAGGTACAAATTGCATCAAAGCTTTACTTCGGGTGTAAAATTTCTCTCTAAACTGAAATTTCTAAAACTGAACTTTCTCTCTGGTGCATTGTTTTGTTTACAAGTTAGCTAAAGCTAACGTTTTAGCTAGCAAGTTGTCTCATTGAACATTGCTACCTATGGAGTTAATAGCTACCTTTCAACTTAATCATATGCCAGGTTAGAAAAGACAGACACTACTTTACTTTGTAAATATTTCAGTTTCATTATGATGTGGCAAACAAAAATTTTTAGGCCTTTTTTGTAATCTCAGAATGTGTTACTCTCCCAACTTTCCCAGCCTAATCTGTACTTGAACCATGTTGACCCCACCGAGGGAAGGGACGCCCTGTATGATCGACAGGGCACTGAAGATGAGGAGGGAAGAGCAGGCTCGACAGGTCGTCCTCGCCTGGGCTGTCCTCAACGTGTCCCTGGCTGGCATGATTTACACCGAAATGTAATTGTCATGTTGATATATTGCCCTGAACTTGTTATGGTCACATTGATATTAATATATTGTGTCTCATGTGTCTGTAAGGTCGGGGAAACTGCTGTGTCGGTATTACAACATCACCTACTGGCCTATCTGGTACATTGGTGAGATTCCATGTCTATTTTTAAGATGGTGACTTGTGTTAGAAGGTTAATACTTTGATAAGTTGTAGCAGCATATGATTTTTGGGTTGTGATTTTAATTACAGTGAATAATCCTGCAAAGTTTGCCTTACTTAAAAGTATTTTTTTAACAATACATTCAACCAGGAAACTAGTTTTTATGTCTGAGTGTCCATTTTCGATCCTCTTTCACAGAGCTGGCATTTGCCTCCCTCTTCAGTCTAAATGCTCTTTTTGACTTCTGGAAATATTTCAAATACACAATGGCTCCGTCCACCATTACTGTGACCCCCGAGCAGCATCGCCTTCTGGGCCTAAGAAACACAAGTGAGGCTTTCAACACAATCTTTTGATATTTCCCAAGTGTTAAAACATGCTGTCCGGACTTCATCCTCTCATGAGAAATGTTTGTTGGACGTCCTCTTGTAGGTTTCCAGGCCTCTCCACCCCAGAAGCCGGAAAAGAAGGAAACCCCGGCTCCAGCCGAGTCGTGTCCGCTGCAGGGTCAGAGTGTGCTGAGCTTCAGCCCCTCCCGGCCGGCCTCCAGCAGTCCCAAGTTCTCCCCGAGCTGTGTCACGGGCTACAGCCCCTCTCTCAGTAACCCCTCCACAGCGAGCAGCGCAGGAGGCCCCTATTCCCCCTCAGTGGCCTTCGGAAAGGTGCATATCTCTTCATCAGTTACTTGAGTTTGATAAGAAGAAGAAGCTCTGAAGTGGATTAGCTGATTTTTTATTTTCTTTTACCTTGTCCTGTTGAGGATTATGGTAGTAGAACTGAAATCTGCGTACCGTGTTATGCTGAGCAAAATAGCTTTGCCTAGGGAGGCTTTGTTAGTGAGAAGCCCCCCTTGATTACCCAAAACTTCTTTATTTATTCATTTTTGTTACCAAACTTCCATATGTCCCATAATGCCGAACCTGACAGAGGGAAAGGGGGGAGGGAAGAGTAGTGGAAAGAAAGGAGAGAGATCCTTTAGAAAGGGAGAGAGGGGGGAGGGAGAAAAAAAAATAAAGATAAAAAAAAGGAGAAAGAAAGGCAACAAGACCATATGACCAACTTTTATGACTGCAAAAAGGACACTGTTCCTTGTGGGCAATCCGAGTGGAGAACCTGTAGTATTGGATTGTAGTATGGATTAGCTGATTAGCTTCCTTTTGTTCCAGGTGCTGAGCTACAGTCCTTCCTCTGGATCCTCTCCCTACTCCAACAGCGTCGGGTCGGCGGAAGGCTCCAGCTTGAGGGCTCGGTATCGCACGTCCCCGTCAGTGTTCAACTCCCCGGGAAGCAAAGAGGACTACATGGAGGATCTGAAAAGTCTGGAGAGGTTCCTGCGCACAGAGGAGGAGAAGAGTCACCGCAGCCAGCTGGGTGGGTTCCTGCAGGAGCTCCTCTTCTGAGAGCAGGTGTTGTCAAAAGTATCGATACTCGAAAAAGTATCGATACTAAAACGTTGTATCCGGATACAATACTCATTTTCAAAAGTATCGACACCCCCCCCCTTCTGTCTGATTTATTTAATTACATTGTTTATGATAATTAATGTTATGTTAGCCTTGAATTGCTAGCTGTGGCTAATGGCTAATAATAACACGCCACCATAACATCAGTAATAATCAGTAAGTTTGAAACCAAACACACTAACCTGTCCAAATTCAGTAACATTTTTGGTTAGGGTTAGGGTTACTGGTCATGTTTACACGAGGTAAACATGACCAGTTTGTTAGGGTTAGGGTTTTTATCCTTAAGGAATCAAAAATGGTATCAAGTATCGAATATTTTCCTGAAAAGTTTAGTATCGTGACAACCCCAGTCACGGCCCCAGGAAACGTAATTTTAAACCAGTATCTGGATGATTCCATCTGCAGGCAGTCCGGAGGCTGTGTCTCCGAGCCACAGCCCAACGTTTTGGAACTACAACCGTTCGGTGGGAGACTACGCCCAGAGCTTGAGGAAGTTCCTCTATCAGCCGGCGTGCCGCTCCCAGGCGCCGTCCGCCAACAAGGACGAGACGGACCTGGGCTCCAAACAGGCCGCCGAGGAGGTCTGTGTCCACTCCTGGGTGAAAGAAAGCCGATTAAAGCCTTGCCTGTGTTTTTGTTGGTGGTTATGAAGTGTTTTTTCCCTTTTGTGATGCGTAGGTGTGGGCCAGAATCACAAGCAGCCGTGCCGTCGTGGACCGCATCGATAGCTGGACCGCAAAGCTCCGAAATGTTTGTAGATGTGTTCATAATTCAATTCAATTCAATTTTATTTATATAGCGCCACATCACAACAACAGTTGTCTCACAGCGCTTTCCAAACAGAGCAGGTCAGACCCTACTCTGAAGATAATTACAGAAACCCAACAATTCCCACCATGAGCAAGCACTAGGCGACACAGGCAAGGAAAAACTTCCTTTTAACAGGCAGAAACCTCGAGCAGAACCATGGCTCAGGGTGGGCGGCCATCTGCCTCGGCCGGTTGGGGGTGAGGGAAAGAGAGGGCGAGAGAGAGACAGAGGGCAAGAGAGAGAGGGCGAGAGAGGCAGTCAACACAGCCACACGTAGACTAGATGAAAAATAGCAATGATGTTAATACTAATGATGATGGTAGAAGTTATGACGGCAACAGAGCAGGAACACGGGGGCAGCAGGAAACTCCCAACCACAGATCCAGACCCCACAGCTCCATAACCATAATATCATCATAACCTGACGATTTCACGCTGTTGCCTTTTGTAAATCAAAAGCATTTACAAATTGAGTTTACTTTGCATCTACAGTGGATCAGCGACACCATCCTGGTCCCTCTGGTTAAGGAAATCGACACTGTCAACAGCCAGCTCCGGAGGATGGGATGCCCGGAGCCCCAGATCGGAGGTAGAGCTGCTCCAGAGTCGGCTGCTGGCCAACTGTTAAAGCCCCATCTGACAAAAACACCTTTTCTCCTGTTTTCCTCCACCAGAGGCAAGCATCAGCAGCCTGAGACAGGCAGCGGTGATGAAGGCCTCTCTGATCCCCACACTGAACTCCATAGTCCAGTACCTGGACATCACACCCAACCAGGAGTATCTAGTTGACAGACTAAAGGGTGAGTTCAGCCTGGAAAGTGTTGCTGGTAAAGAGCAGAGATCCAGATGGTGAAGGAAGGGGGGGGATTGTACAGTGTCACCATACTAAACAGTTCAACTCGATACCGATACTTAGAAAAATATTTGATACTCGATACCATTTTTGATACCACAAGGATAAAAACAAAGACCCCAAAATTGAACTGAATTTGAACATTTTAGTATCTTTGGTTTCAAACTTACTGATTATTACTGATGTTATGGTGGCCGGTGGCCCAAATTAATATTGGCATGTTATTATTAGCCATTAGCCGCAGCTAGCAATTCAAGGCTAACGTCACGTTAATGATCATAAACAATGCAAATAAATAAATAGATAAATCACAGAGAAGGGGCACAGCTTCGTGGTATCGCTACTTTTGGAAATGAGTATCGTATCCGGATACAACGTTTTAGCATCGATACTTTTTTGAGTATCGATACCTTTGACTGAGATTCCTGTGCGTGTTTCTCAGAGCTGGCTCACAGCGGCTGCATGAGCTCGTTCCGCTGGAACGGCGGCGGCGACCTGAAGAACAGGAAGTGGGACACAGACATCCCCACCGACTGTGCTGTGAGTCCATCCTGCTCCCCGCTGTAGTGCTTCTTCATCTCTTTTGAATGTAGCCACAGATGTTTCTGCCATTTTAATCTTTTTTTTTTGCTTTGTCAGATTCTCATGCATGTCTTTTGCACATACTTGGACTCCAGGCTTCCTCCACACCCAAAGTACCCAGACGGGAAGACTTTCACCTCTCAGCACTTCAGCCACACCCCCGACAAACCTGGTGTGCACGCACAGGCTGATGAAAAGGGAAATCTCTGTGAATTCCTCTCTTCTTCTACGGTTTTAATTGTGGTTTCTTTGGCTGTAGATGTTACCAAGGAGACCCTCTTCTGCATCCACCAGAGCAGCACCACTCCGCCTCACTACCAGCTCATCTACCAGGGCCACATCTACAGCCTTCCTAAGGTCGGCCATTTTATTAGGGCGGGAACTTTAATTCTGACTATCAATTACAGTGAAAATAACCTAGTATTTTGCCCTTTAGTTTTTCTCAGAATACTTTACTGATAATTAGATACAAAGCCGCTCATTGATTAGATCAAACCTTTTAGTTTGTATTCAAAGATTCTTATTCCCCAATTTTCGTGCCATGTGAATGATTAAATAACAGCTATTAGGAGCAGAACAACAGACGTTATCCAGATTATGTTGCTCACTCATAACATTTGAACTGATGATGTCAGTGACCCAAACGTGTCTCTGTCTGTGCTCCAGGGCAGAAACAACCTGTTCCACACCATCCTCATGTTTCTCTTTGTGATTAAGACCAAAGAGTCGGGGATGCTCGGGTGAGTTTTTGCACGATTCTTTAAAAAAGCCAAAAAGAGTGTTTATAGTTAAACTGTTAATCCGTTTTTCTCCAGGAGGGTGAATCTTGGACTCTCTGGCGTCAACATCCTGTGGATATTTGAGGACTGATGCCTCATCTTGAATAGTTAACTGCTGCCTGTGCATCCCCCCCCCCCCAAAAAAAAACCTCATAAAAGTGTCGTAAGGCTCAGTATCAGCTGCACATTGGGTGTAAATGCACTCAGTTTGAGACATAATCCATGCACGCTTTGGGACTCTTTGGCTGTTTTAGTTTCTGTTACACCGCAGAGTCCTTAAGACACAAAGAGCTTTGGGTTTGTTTTAATTTTTTTAGAGCTTTTTGCATTCTGACTTTTACATTTTGAGAATGTACCAGCATGGCAGCCTTGTAAATCATATACCTCAGATATGCCAGCTTGATCGCAAAGGGCTCAGACCCATTAGCTTGAATGTAAATAGAGTATGTGTGGACCTGCCGTGCATTTTTCTGCCATCAGCAAACCTTTACTGAGTAGTTTGGAGTTGTTTTGTTAAAATAAATGTTTGCAACTGTTGGGAACCTATCAGTATATGCTTAAATAAAGCTAAAAGTGTGGATTTTTACAAAATGCTCAAAAGAATCCTCTGTAGTTGCAATATTTTTCATGCTAAAATCAGGAAATTATGAAACAGAGGCATATTTATGTCATTAATTTACAGATTTTGTCTTTACCATTTAGCCTCATTCATATCCCACATGTTTGCAACTGCTGTTTTATAGATATTTCTCCTGAGGTCTGTCAATTAAACTGAGATTTTTAAATAAACCTGGTTCGTACAAGGTGTGAATGACAAAAACAGACCAGTGGGAGGCAGTATGTGTCCCATTAAACAGGTTGACCTTATTTTTTTTTCTCCTTTCAAATCACATAAGCAGAGATGTGATGCAGAGACTAGCTTCAGGATATAAGATAATATTCTTTCTAAATATCATGTATATTAAAATTCCCATCATGTAATTTGGACACAGCTTTGACAATGTCTTACAGATACATATATACATGTATATGGATAGAGAGATTTAGAAGTCAGTTTATTACAATTTGCAGTAATTTTTTGTGAGTATGAGTGAATAATATTTTACTGACATGTTTGAAATGATTGAGAGGCTCCTGTCGATGCAGAGCACTGTCTCACACACGCTGCGTTTGTTTTGCATTTTTTCATACGTCGTTTTCAATACAAACTGCATTTCCCGCAATGTATCTCTAAGAGCGGTGCTTTCTTATGGGATATGTAGTCAGATTAGCAAATGTCATTTGTGTTGTCTTAAACATTGGACATTATTTTCATGTTTCGTTTTTGTTTTTTGTGTCTTAAGTGAAGTGTTGGGTTTTAGGCGTGATGTTGTACATTTTGAGAGAGGGTAACGCAGGGGAGAGCGTTTGAGCACACAACGGGAACTACAGTGACCACAATGCTTTGCGGCTCCGCTGAGCTTCCGCTCACATCCGCTCGACTCGCTTTCTGTGCTGGAAAAAGGACTTTGAGAAACTGCAGCGATGTCAGTCCAGGTTGTGGCAGCGAAAATGGCAGAGGTCGAACTCAAAGACGCCGGCAAAGACTTACCGGCTCAGTCCCCGGTGACACCGACGTCGGAGGACAAGACGTTGGGCCGAAACGAGGCCGGTTCCTCCGCCGCTACGTCTCCTTCTACGGAGCCCTCAGCCAAAGCCGGGGACGGGACTCCGGGTTTGCTCACCCCAAACGCCGCAAAGCTGCCCCAGGCGTCGGCTATGAAGCGAACCGACCCCCAGCAGAACGGCGGGGAGGCTTTCGTGAACCGGGACGGCACCGTGGCCGAGGCTCCGCGGATGAAAAAGGCAAGTTGGGGCGGCGGTTTTTCCCAACCGGAGCGGCGCGTGCTGGCGGTTTTTGGACGTTCGCGGAGCCTCGCGCCGCATTGGAGGCTCGCGGTGGGAAGCATTGTGTGGCGATGCTAGCATGCTAGCTGGTTCAGCCGTGCCACTTAACGCTCTAAATGATGGCCCTGTGGGCTAATAACACAGCAGAGAGTGTTAAAAACCTCTCAACTCTCCTTTTAACGTCAGCCTAGCTGTTTATTTTCGGCTGACATTTCGGAGAATTTCCCCGGAAGAGGATAGAAGTTTAAAACTTTAGCAAAGATTTAGCCGTTTTTGACGTAAACAACATCGTTGAAAACACAGTTTACACTAATTGTTTTTGCTTTAATCTGGTTGGTAGAATCATATTTCAAATGCAGACAGAAAATAAAAAATAGACAAGCAGAATATTTTTTTATAATAAACCTTGGCCACCCATGAAAGTAGCACTATTACAAAAACTTTCCAAAGGCGCCACTGGTGTGACTTCTGATACTGGACCAAAGGAAGTTCATGGGTTTGTATATCCAGAGGTCAGGCTGACTTATTTGGATTAAAGAAGGCTCCCCATTTATGCCCCAATGTGCCTTATCTCTTTCAGAAAACTGATTAGAAGTTGATACGAAGTTCAATGAAACAACAGTGTTTGACAAGGAATCTATTATGCGTATAATTAACATCTTTGATTTTGTACATGTACCTGGTCACATATACTGGTTGTACAAAGACTTTGATTTGAAAAGATCAGCTTAAATTAATGTTTTTACTTTTAAAGGGAAGGAGGTATTGGAATAACTGACAGTGATCCAGCAGCCGCACAGGGCAGATAGTTCCTGTTTCTGTCATTCAGTCACAAATGTTGGGTTGAATCTTGCCTGGGGAGCAAACTCAAGCCAAATCTGCAGGTCAGCGTTTAAATGACCAAACACTTCAAGCATTTGGGGCCTTTTTGCAATAAAAATGCACATTTGGGCATTTTCAAAAGGACTTTACTCCTGTCTTAGAAAATAGTTTCTTATCCATTAATTAGACATTAATGAATACAGATAAGTGTTAGTAAGTCCATATTTTACATCCTGTATAATGTTTAACTCAATAAGGGCACATTAGGGAAGAAATCTGTGTAGTTTATTAATTTGAATACCTTCTTGGAGCTACATGTGATTAAAGGACTTTACTTCTGTCTTAGAAAAGTGTTTCTTAACCATTAATTACACATTAATGATTGCAGATAAGTGTTAGTTAGGCCATATTTTACATCCTGTATTATATTTAACTCAGTAAGGGCACATTAGGGAAGAAATCTGTGTAGTTTATTGATTTGAATACCTTCTTAGAGCTACAAGACTTAATGCGGATATCTGGCTGGACGGGGGTGAGTCTGTGGTGCATTCCCCGTTTAGGAGGCATCATTTTCCCGCTTTATGCGCCCGTAAACGCAGCGCCTGGTAATCTGCTGAGTTCTGCCGGAGCGGTTCGGGTTAAAGGCAGCAGTGGGCTGATGATGCAAGTGTTGACTGACTGGGCGAGCGGCTGGCTTTTAATCCTGGCCTTTATCGTGTCTCCACATGAGGGGATTAAAAGGCCATCTCGCAGTTGTAGGTGAGCCCAGATGTAAGCTTTCTAAGTGGGCCATGAGTGCCATTGTAACCACAAATATCCGCGGCCTCCGGGAGGTCTCAGCCTCCACCGCCACCGGCTCCTCTGGTCGGCGGTTTTCTGGCTGCGTTCGGGTCATTCGGGTCATTTCCCATAAAGATCGCTCATTTAAAGTGGATGATTGTGCACTCCCTGCAGAGCATTTCCTTCTGCTAATGATTGAACCCGCTAACAGACCTGAGAGGGGATGTCTCTGGCTAAAGTTTACGAATTCATCCCTTTTTGAAGTGATGTTACATCACCCTCTAAGCTGGTGTTCTTGGTATTCCTTAACAGGCTTAAAGTGAGTCTGAAACTCCTGGGAGGAGCTCTGTGAGGAAGGTGAATCTCTATGTTACCGGACTGGTTTACTCTTGTACTCATTTTTATGCTTTGTCAAATGTAAACGAGCACAAAATGGAGGCGTTTTGTGCCTTTTGGTGGCATAGAAGCGTTAAACGAGTGGCGATGGGGTCAAGTTTACGATCTTGTTTAAACAAGTGGGCAAACATCTGGGAAGGAGGCGACCAGCTGCTGGCTGACTAATCAGACCTGCTCTGATTTGTCAGTGAGTGTGTCAATGTCTCATGACTGTGCAGCCACAAAGAAGAGTGTGTGCCGCTGCCCCCCCCCACAACGCCCCCTCATATGTGACTCGCCCCTTCCCCTCGCTGGTGTGTGGATATCCTGGACTTTTACACCCGGAAGAAGCCGTTTTTTGTCATTTAACTAACCATGCTCCTCATGGTTGGGCAAAGAGGGAGTGATGATGATGATGATGATGATGGTGGTGAAGGGAATGTGGCACAAAGATGGAAAGTTTGAGAAATCTCAAACCGGTTTGAGAACCTCCTCTCTTTTGATCCCGACATTTGGCTCAAAGGAAAATGTGCTTTTGTTTAGCTTTTTGTTTGTCATAATCTATCCTGCGAGTAGTTTGGCTCGCGGAGGCTTTTGCTGAGGTCAGGCTCAGGAATCAAATCCATCGTTACGCTCTCGGACAGCCTGAGATATCTCCAATTTATTGATGGCCGATTAGTGGCGTATTATGTAATCGTGCAGGAGGTAAACATATCAAACTTTGTTCTTTTTTTCCCCAAATAGACGGATAGATGTAACGTCAGAAAATGAAAGCGACAGACGGCGTGCATATGATGCACTTTGTTATGATGCTGGCTTGGTTGGAGCTTAAGCTGGAAATGGGGGGGTGGGGGGGGGATTTATATGTTGTCCAGCGTAGCAACAAATACCGGCTGGTTTTGGGCCCTGGTTTGCCTTCTGGACCAGGAGTATCTGTCCAGCTGTGGCCTCTGCTCTTAACCCGGGTTCATCAATCTTTTTAATGACCCCGGAGTTATTTATCTCCTCCTCTTCCTCTGTTGCTCTCCTCTTCATCAGATGACCGTTTCGGCACACGTCGGCTCTCGTTTGTTTTAGCTGCCTGCTTGTGTTCCTGTCGGTGTAAATCTCAGGACAGATCACAGCTTCCTCTAACTATCTTTACCCGGGCCTCTCAGATCGAGTCAGGAAGTGGACCGTTGATACTTCACACCAGTCGCAGACTCTCTCACCCCCTGCTGCCACACACAGAAATCTCTCCATCACCGTGGTGACTGTGTTTCCAGGATGATGAAGATCGGAGCTTTCAGGCCACTTGTTGTGTTCTTTGGCAGAGCTCCGCCTTTTCTCTCCGTTTCCCTTTTAATGGAGAGCATTTTTGAGGAGGGCCAACAGGAGATGGATCGGCTGAAGGTCCAGATGCTTCTCTCAGATCCTGTCGAGCCTTTTTTGTTTGGGTTTCTGTGGAAGTTTTGAGCATTTTTATCATTAACGGGGTCTTTCCCTGCGGTCACAGGAGGAACGGAGTCGGTGAATGAAGCAGAAAAGACTTAGAAAAGTCGTGTTACTCATTAAATGCCTACCAAAATTGCCAAATAAAATATTTCCTGACCCGTTCACACCGGGGCGGCTGCCCCACAACATTTCTTCACCAAAGATTTCTTCTTTTCTCCTTCTCTTGCCCAGTTTCCTCAAAAGTTGAAGGAAAAGCAGTATGCATACCGAATGAAAAGCAGGTTTATTTCTTGTCACTCTTCCTTATTTCCTAGAACTTTTTGCAAGCATAATCTTTTTAATAGATGATTTTCTGACAGTATTACATGTGAAACTCATTAGCAGACTGCAAAGCATCAAAAGACAAAGTTTAAAGTGGATTCACACAGTTCTGGCTCACCCCTTGAGCTTTGTGGCCTTTTTTGTTGGTCTTTAAGGGCTTAGACAATGTCTGGCTGATTGGGAAAATAAATATTGACTTAAAAATAAAGTTCTTAGCACAACATGGTTCCTTGTGGGAGTTTAGTGTCACTTTCACCAGGATGGGCCAACTCACAGGGGCACAACTGAGGTGTTTCTTTACAGAAAAGCCCCTTAACGTCTCACTCGCGGGGTCTGAAACTGGCGGTGAAGAGAAATGAGCTGAAATTGATTCTGAAGCCTGAGTTTCCTTCAAATGTGGCAAATCAAACCCATATTTATCCGAGTCGTCGTGAGGAAATCCACCCTGTGGGATCCAGTGTGGCACCAGTCCTTTGTACAGTGGGGGGGGGGGCTGTTCATGAGATCACATTTTCCTCTTTTAACCACAATACGCCGGGTTCAGTGTCAAAGCTTTGATGGGAATTTGATGACACGGCTCCCGCTCTGATTATGTAATTAATAGGAGTGAGCCGTGTGAATGAGATGTCAGTGCTGATCATTCCGCGTAAGTTGGATTAGTCGCATTTACCTCGATGTGACTCATGTTAATAGTGAGGGGGGGCTGGCCCTTTAAGGCAGGCGGCCTGAGCTGGTATTTTCTGTTTCTGTGGGCAAACATTTAAAGAACCGGGCAAAAAAAGAGAGGACTCGGGGCTCGTGTTCGATCAGATTATGGACAATTAGCAGGCCGGGCATTATTCAGCTCTCTCTCCACCTCTTACATTTGGATTTTGAGCCTTTTCCCAGCTTTTTCTCATCTTAGGGGCTGATTTGTTTAGCTAGTTTGGTGGTCAGCAGATGGATGTTTAACTGGAGATATTCGACTCAGTGTGGATGTGACTGTTTGCTGCTGATTTATTGCAAATCGCCTCCTAAAGTCATTAAAACATCATTATTGGGACGCCTTCAGAGTCAAACCGCTGGTTTATTTTGCTAAAAAAGAGGCAGTTTGTGGGGTTTTTGCCTCTTGGCGTGTTTTCCTGACACGATGCAGCCCTTTGAAATGACCTTTGCACCCAATCTGAGACTTTTTTATGCAGTTTTTCTGCGTGTTGTTCCGGCTGGTATCAGCAGGGTTTGCCTCCCCCAGGTCCTCATTTCCTGCCTCGTCCCTGAGCGTGCACAGCTGATTGAGTTACACTTCTTTCTGCTTTTAACGAACCGAGAGGTGATCAGAACGGAGGGAAAAAAAGCCGCTTTGCTTT